AATGTGAATATGAGAATGTTGAGCACGGAATATATACGCTACGTCCCGTTTAAATCAAAATACACATCTCACATATTTAACTTACACGTCAAAATTAACCAAATTACCATCGCTCAGAAACAGCACCTGGACCGGTTTTACATCAGAAAAAAAATACGTTAGCTCGTTCGTTCACACAGCGCTAGCAGTGCGGCTAGAACATTTAAACCCCTTTAGCACGCGCTAACAGAGCTAACGCTACAAATGCCGTCCCGAGCCCGAAATAAACATCACATAACCATTGAAAACCATACACAACATGTAGAGAATCTTCTCGACCATTTAATACATTAACAAAGTGTATAGATGACTCCATTGTCGTATTTTAAAGAGACTTGCCTCAGGATGATCGCTCCAGGTCCGCTGTCTCTCTGTCTCTTCGTCTCTCTCTCTCTCTCCCTCTAGTCTGTCTGACCGTCAACAACACGCGCACAGACTGAAACCCTTCAGACGCTCGAGCGTCACAGCGAGCGAGAACGCGCACTAGCAGAACGGATGTGGCGCGGGCGTGTCTGTCTGTCTGCCTCTCTCCCCCAATGTCTTGTGAAGTTCAGACTTGCACGATTTTTAGGAATAAACAGTTGTGCTGGGTAGTAACTGACTACATTTACTTTTCTATTGATGATTAGCCTACATGTTATTCTCGCAATAGCAGTAAATTATTCATAATTAATTGATTCTACGTATTTGTTGTATTTTAAATGATCCTTTTTATAAAGGTCTACACTGCACATACGTTCAGATGTTCTTCCAGGTTTGTGGAATTGCACACAGAGACTAGTCTTTAGTCATTATGAGATTCTCACTTAAAACTGAGAGCCACACAGAATTTGTTCACTGGATTTTGCACAGAAATCATTTCACTTTTAAGTATTTTTAAAGTATTTTTTTTGCATCTAATCAACACTTTTATGACTATTTGAATTAGCCTATTAGGACTACTCAAAGAGACATTTATCAATGTATTAAAGACTTTTGTCTTTCAAACATTCAAATGTATAAATTCGCATTGTTATTATGCAATGCTAGGGATTCCCTAATGTTTTTCAGCTTTTTTTGTCCTACAGGCTTTTCGAAGTAAACCGTTAGATTTTAATTGAACAAATTAGGTCAATAATAAAATTAAGTCAATAATAATTGTATTTTTAGTCTAATTTTATCAATTAAAATTTAATTTAATCTAAAAACTAAATTTAATTTAATTTAAAAAAATAGTCTAAAACTAATTGTCACATGACATAGAATTAAACAAAATCTAATTTTTTAATTATTCAATTACATTTTTATTTATAATTATTATTTAATTACTTTATAGCTTTTCATTAAACTCACAAATCTCTGCAGTTCCATCAAAACCTCAATAAGAAACCCTGATATAAAGTAATATTTGATGCACTTCATGTTGTTGATACCAAAGAATGGAAAATATATTCACTTTCTCTTTGTATTTTTACATCAATATGATTCAATATTTTCCTATTCAAATCAATGTAATAAACAAGTTAGGTTAAATGTAAAAGTAATCAAAAAGTAATCAGAATATTACCTAAAATTAGTCATCTATACTTTACTAACTACAATTTTTGTCATGTCATTTGTCATTTGTAAAAGTATAGAATGCTATATAGGGCATATGGTAATTTGTTACATGTGACAAATTAATGGATTTTTTTTTTTTTTTTACCAGGTTTCGAAATAAGGGAGTTTTTTTGTCAGCAGGATCTAGGGACATTCTAGCTATATATATATAATGGGGTAACTGCATGCTGCATTTGAATCACTTTGCTGAAAGTAAATGGAAATTTAAATGTCATTAGCCACTTCCCTATGCAATGGTCATGATTTATGTTGAAAGTTTAGATGAGCAGATGTCTGTAAATGTTTCACAAATAATGACTCATCTGAAATGTTCTCTATGAATGAAATTCCTTCAATCACACTTGTTTCGTGTACGCCTATAGCTTTGAATTGGCAAAGGTACAAAACATGTAATACTTTAATTATTAGTCATATATAATTATCATTTTGTTGATTAGTTCTTTTTTTATTTTCAGTTTTCATTTTAGTTTTTTTTGTCCTTTTGTCATTTTTATAATTTTACTATTTATGTTTTATTTATTAGAGTTCAGTTTTAGTTTTTAAGTTTTTGTAAGTTTAAGTATAACTTATTTTAGTTATAGTTGCAAAGGCAACATTTCAAGTTTTTCATCTAATATCTAGATTTTATTTCAGCTTTAATACAATTTTTTTAATAGTTTAGTTTTTAACGGTAGTTTTTAATTTTATTTTTTTGTTAACGATAAAAACCCTGACCTCTAGGGCACTTAAAATTAAATTATACTGTGGAAGGTTATACGCCAAGAGATTTTTCATCTTTGTCATTATCGGATATAGTGTTTGAACTGACCTAATTATAAACCAGCCAGACATGTTTATGGACATTAGTATGAGTAACTGTAACGCTATACAAATGTTGTGGAGGCTTTTGCCAAGGACATTAAGTAATAGCACTAGAACATTCTCTGTGGCTGAGTAATGGCCTGGAGCCAATCCAGCAGTTTGTGGGGTCCATGGGGCTTCCAGTGGGCTTCTTTTTTTTCAATGAACCCATGATGGGGTGCTGGGATCACCTTGGCTTCAGTATCCATCTCTGTGTGAGCCATTTGTTAGGTGTCATTTAAATGTTAAATGAGATAGGCAGAGCTATGAGGGCCTGAATTCAGCAGCGCATTCACAAACACCAGCTGCATTAACACTTTTAAAGGCTTCTCCTCCACACTGACCCAGGTCATGTTCAGGCAAGACGGGGTTGTGAAGATTTGAATAGTTTTGATGTGCTTAGAGGTGTTTTTGTTTAGATTGAAGACTCGCCAAAAAGAGCAAGGGGTTACATTGGGGGGGGGGGGGGTTGTTTGTTTACATTTGCCAAAACACCAAAAACTTACATTTTAGTGTTGTTTAATTGTGGGTAATTAATACCTCATCAAGGACCACAAAAAAGAGCCCACATAATGCTCTTTAAAAACTGTTGGTGTTTAAATAATAATAATGTTTTATTTTAAATGTTTTTCAACAACACACTTTTATCCAACTGTAATTTGAACATGATTATCTGGTTGGGTATGAAATAAACATTTTTTGAGATCAATGTCACCACCAGCCTGCGTACGGTTTGATGCGCCAGTGATCAAGGCCCATTTCAGTGGCGTTTTTTTACCATTCGCTGCAGATAGCAAGGTCAGCAGATGTATTATGAAAGCACTAGCAGGTGCGCCCACACACACACACACACAGTGTGCTGTGCCTGAACTCAAAACACTAGCACATTGATTTTTTTTTCCAGAGGGTAATAACATCATCCCGGGATTGTGAGGAGTAATTTAAACTTAATATGGGTAATTACTCTCCAATAGCTGATAGTTCATTTAAAGCTTGACATAATGCTGTTTGCATGCAGGAGAATGAAGGATAAAGAATGCCAGGAAAATGGATAAAGCGCTGACGGGCCACGCAGTTAGTCAGACAGCTGTCTTCATTACAGACTGTGGGACTAAACCCTAAGCACCCCCCTGAGGACATAGCTTCAGAGAAAATCTATATTGAAATGCATCATCAGACAGCAAGACAAACAAACGCTTATCACTAGCAGTAGGCCTACTGTTACAAGTGCGGCAGACTTGTGCTACCTGCTCTGAAAAAGGCTTTCGGCTTGTTGTGTAAACACAATCTAAAGGAAACACACCTGGTCCACCCCCCCCCCCCCCCACACACACCTCCAAAAAAAAAAAAAAAAAAAAACTTTTTTCAAAGAGCAAGAGTTGAAAGCAAAAAAATCACATACAAATTTTTGAAAGTATATGGATAAGAATATGGACTTATATTTAAAATATATATATATATATACCTGCATGTAATTACACTGGAATTACACAGTGAGTTAACCCACCCTTAAACCTATATATACCACCCAAAAAGTGTTTTGAACACAATTAGAACAATGAACCTTCCAATTACTATTTTCTGATGTAAGTACAGTAGCCTAGTTAAAGACACCTATAATAGTGTAACTGAAAACAGTTTTAAAGGAAATCCTACACTTTTTCTTTCCAGTGTATCACCACTAATCAAACACAGTCATACTTCTCTACTTTAGAGGGCAACTCTGCTTTCTTCCACAGGGAATCGTGTACCCTGCTCTCCCGAGAAAGAGGACACTGGGACAATGTCACAGAGAACAGTCGGATGCATAACATTCACACTCATCTGTCCTCATGCATTTACAGTTACAGCCAAAGTCATTCAAGGTGAGTGGTTCCACCGGCACTCTGAAAGCCAGACATGTGAGGCGAGGTCTTCAACCATCTGGCCAACAAGGTGCAGCTCCGCACACAGACATGTTATACATATATTTACATATCAGGAAGTGGATTTAATTTTTAACAAATTTTAAATTCAGATTTAATTCAGGCCACCGGTTCACATTGCAGTATTACATTTTAATATCATGTTTACAAATATCAGATAGAAAGAATTTAATTTGATGCAGACGGAAGGAAATTACAGCAATAAAAATGTTTGAATGCATAGGAACATTTTTTGAGCTTTGTTTAGTCTACAAATGCGTCCTTGGTACTGACATCAGCTATGAAAAAAATACTATATACTCTATCCATAATGAACTAACTCAAGAAGACAAAACTTTCACTTCAATCTTTGCTATACTGCTAGCTATTCTAATGACTAATCACAAAGCTGGTTAAAAGGGCAAAGAAGAGCTTTTTTCTATTATCAGTTTTTATGGATATTTCTCCAAATAATTATATATACACAATATTTCAAAGATGTTTTGTGGGCCTAATGGTTAGCAAGACCGACTGGCAACCCATAGGTTACTGGTTCGCTTCCAGTACCAGTAGAAAATGGTCGCAACAAAACAAATTTCTTTCACACTTGAGAGAGAATGAGTTTCCTTAAATACTTTAATTGTGTTAACAAAAAGTGTTACAGTTCATTCCAGTCAATTGATAGTGTTTTTAATGTGCATAATAATACACAAAACATAGAAAGAAAAAAAAAAACAGGTCCACTTCAGCCCCCTGATGCTTCTTTAAAGCATATTAGCACAGTTTACTTTTTTCTGGGAATGCATAGAGGGCTTAAAGCAATTCATTCATTTCTAACACCAGGTTGCTAATAAGCTCGTCACAGCTCGAAACCAGTGTGAACATCTGTGAAAATATAAGCAAGTTGATGCATGCATGGCGAGGAATGAGAGGGCAATCCTGTGTACGAGTAGCCTGTGTTTAAAGTCATCATTTGGTCATTTAAAACGCACCACCCGAAAAACTGGGTGCCATTGATGGGTCTGTGAAGGGTTCCATGACCCCTTAGTACATCATGTATCTGATCTAAATAGAAATCACCCACAGGGACAAAATCAACAAACCAAAAAAAAAAAGCTTCTTTATGACTATAATGAGAAACAATGAACACTTGTCCATTGAGATTCAATTTGTTCAATATAAAAAAATACATAAACTGAATATCTTAAACAGAAAGGCAATCACATTTAACATAAAAAGCAAGATATAAAAGAAGAAAAATGGCGAGAAATACTTTATACATGCAGCAGTTGAAAAGTAATAACATACTTTGACCTCGTCCGTATGGAAACCACTGACAGGAACATTAGTTTTAGTGTCTTATTCTGCTCCTGTGTTGAAGACAGCTGTTGTATTTCATGTCTAATTTCTCCCTCCTTCCGTCTCTATACAGAAAACTTCTCCATTCACAGTTTGAGTATTTACAACAGTGTTCATTAGTGTTCCCTTCTCCGTACAAACAAACTTAATACCACTTCAATCAAAAGTGAGGCCACATGCCTAAATCATCTTAAAACTTATGGAAAACTCTGATTCATTACATTGTGCACATTTTATATAGATGACAGTATTTTTAAATAATAATAAAAAAACAATGAAAAGTATTTTTCTTCCTTACACTATATTTTTTTCTGAGGAGATGCAGAATAGATAATCAGAAAAAAAAAGTTTTCAAGAATATCCCATGTGGTATAGAGTTTAAAAATGGCTTACTATATGTCTCAATGGATTCTCTTTAATATATACAAATAAAAGGTGTATCAGATATTAAGAGGTCCTGCGTACCATCAGTCATTCTTTTCCTTTAGTTTGCAGTGTCCAGAAACTTAAAACTGACATTCCAACTACGTTCGTCAACAAATAAAGACACTGATAAGTTTCATTTCATCAGTGCTGATGACAAAAATAATCAAGTTTTCTTTTTCTTTTTTTTTTTTTTACTTAAGGACTAGTGGTTATAAATGGCAGAAAGTGAAAGAGGTTTGGCAAAGTTAATGCTCCATCTGGTCCCAACAAAATGAAGTCAGGTTGTCGTTTCCTTTCTTGCGATTGTTTGTGACCATGCAAATAAAGGCAGCGATGATATGCACGCGACAGAAACAGACAGGCCATTCACACACACTCCTCCGCCGACATCAGCAGAGGGTTGATGTACTCAAAGCCTTCAAACTCAGACTGGTCGATCTTCTTTACAGCATCACTGGGAGGGAGACAAAGAGATAATCAATCAGTCTTAACTGCTAGAGCACATTTAACTCACTACAGCTTTCAAATAGAGAGGAGGCTGTAAAACATTTTCCTGGAAAACAGCGGTGTGTGCAAATGAGGGAATCCTGTTTCACAGAACTATAAATGTGTCATCAGGCATCATAAAATTTGATATTACTTCCTGATGAAACCTGCATTTTTGTGGTAAAGATCTGAAGCGGATTAATGGTGCCTTGGGTCTGATTCAGAAAGCTTGAGGCGTGACACAGACAGATACACATGAACAGACACTCACTCATCGTCAGGCGTGAGCTGAATGGGTTCATTAGTGAACTGGGCATCAAAGTTGTCCAGCCCAAACTCGCCAGAGATGTTGGGCTTGAAGGGTGGGACCACTTGCTTCTGCTCCATCTGAAATACAGTTAACATGAGTCAAACAACAACTGCGACTGTGTCATAAAGTGTCTCACACTATTGATATGCTCTCCCTGATGCTCACAAATTAGTTAAAATCTCCCCCAATCTAAAGCGAGCGAGAGCACGCATGCGAGACAGAGACTGTGCTCCAAACCACGTAGCGCACGTACAGCAGAGAGGGAGAGGGAGCGAGAGACCTTGCGTGTGTGTGTATGTATGTTAGTGTGCCTCATGAGGCACATGTAAGACAGAGAGCATCCTGATTGTCCTGCTTCAGCAAGTCAACCATGGCTACATTTGGTGTGTATGGCAATAAATAGTTATTTTATTAATTCATTGTTCTGTTATATTCAACTGTATTTCGGTATACAAGTACAGTCATGTTCTGTGGTGAAATATCATTTCCTTGTCCTTCCTTTTAGATCTGCTCCCCTGCAGGCTGCCTCAAGCACTGCAGCCTGTCTGAGAAGAAAGTGTAATCTGATGCCTTTAAACTGTCTGACCGCCACTTCTCTCGAGTGTGTGTGTGTGTGTGTGTGTTCACCCAGACCAAACACGGACAAGAGGTCAGTGTGTTCGTCTGAGTCTCGTCTGCTGGTTTCAAATCATTTGAACCTGCCTCACACATGATACAGTTCACTGCCACAACCCCCAGACCAGAAAAATCAATGACTTGACACCTGATCACCTCTATTATATCTCTGGCCCTACACATTATGTTTTTTTTGTCACAATACAAACATGACCCACCCAAAAATATGATTGTATCATAATTGTATCCCATTAGGTTATTATATTGCATGTAAATTTACATTTATTCATTTAGCTGACACTTTTATCCGCACTTACAATTGCTATAAATGTCAGAGGTCGCACGCCTCTGGAGCAACTAGGGGTTAAGTGTCTTGCTCAGGGACACATTGGTGTCTCACAGTGGATTTGAACCCGGGTCTCTCACACCAAAGGCATGTGTCTTATTCACTGTGCCATCACCACCCCAATTTATATATAAATATGTATATTTCTAGGTAATGAAATGTTCATTTTTAATTTATTTTATAGTGTAGTTGTATTACATTTACAATATATAGTCCATCTGGGATTACATGAAGAAACAGAAAATACTGAGAGACTAAATCCAGAAGATCTGTGGCAACAGATGCTTGAAGAAACCGTCCTGCAAAGCTACCTGAAAAACTGTGCAAGTGTTCCTAGAACAAAAAGAGTTTTAAACTCAAAGGGTGGTCACGCCAAATATTGATTTGACTTAGTAGAAGTTAATTGATAAATAAAGTCTATTTATGACATTATTTTTGAAAGCATCCTCACTTTACAGCATTTTTACACAAGTGCCTAAAACTTCTCACAGTACTATAGCTTTGCAGGCAGGTTTCTTCAGGTGTCTTGGACTAATTTTTAGGTGAACTGTACTTTTAACAGCTAACGTCCCTGAAATGCTATTTGAAGTGGTAATAGCGATTGCATCAAATTACATGAATGAGTAATCAAATGGATCTCAAGGTCATAAACAACACTAAATAGTTGTTCAGGCTCCAGTAAGTCTTCTGTTTAGTTTCACTACCGTCAGGCTACAGCAAATGACTCATGTTTCCACTGCGCCCTCAAGTCAAAACATCCAATAACTCAGATAAAGGAAACAGATAGTAGTGACTCACAAGATCCCAGTCTACATTTCGGAAAAAAGGATGGCCCATTATGTCTGCAAAGCCTGTCTGAGGATGACATCCGAGACGCTCCTTTGGCTCCTACAAAAAGAGTGGCAAAAAAACAAAAAAAAACTAACAGTGAACAGAGACAAAAAACAGATTCAGAAGAAAGTAGAGATGTAAAGTGAAAGAAAAAGGTAGGGCCCTATGAAATCTTTTTTTCTTTTTTCCCCCCAATTCTGTTTTATATTTTCCCAAATAAAATTGTTTCTGTTTTAATTTTTTGGAATTTATTTTGTTTTTACCTTTGACTGTTATTTTAGTCGTAAAAAGAGTGTGCTTTTGAATGTTAATGATTAAAATATACAAATAAAATAGGAATGATCTTAAATTTTTTGAGGTAACAGACATTTACTCCGTAGCCTTTATGATGAAACATAACACTGCACTCTTCAAGTACCAACAAAATATGGTTTTGAGCTTTAAACTGTCCAGTAAAACAAAATATATTCATTTATATAAGTTTAAATAAAGTCACACTCTGTCTCTCTCTCGCCCAGTGTCGCTCACGGAGTTCGCTTCGCTTTTGTCCAGTCCGGCATTTTGTCCAATCTGCACGTTGTGTGTGTGTGTGTGAAAGAGAGAGATGTGTGAGTGATATAGATCGGGAAAAGGAAATACAACTGAAAGAATACGCTGTGTGTTTTAAATAGTGTTAAAGAATGAACGAAACGCAATATGTGGCGGCATTATGTGTTGGGAAAAACTGCATAAGTCACATGCGAACTGACGGCTTATAAGGATTGAGTTTATTAACTTTTTTGATGATGAAATCAGAGCCATGGAGGGCCGCTTCACCATCCTTTCATTGTTTTGACATCGTCATTGTAGCTGAAATGACGGGGCGGGGGGTTGTGTCGGCCAGATTTGCTTGCCCCTGTCTGCATTTTCACCAGAATTTCAAACCAAATATGTAAAATTCCACATTAATACTAGATTCTGCTTTAATTTGCCAATTCCGTCTGTGATTCTGTGATCGTGGAAATCATAGGGCCCTAAAAAAGGTAACACAGATGTGAGTAAATAAAGAAGAGAAACAATGATTATGACAGCACTATAACAGGTCCATGTGACAAAGACATTAACATTGATCTGTGTGGTCTGCTTTACCTTGTTAAGGAATCCCTTTAGCACACTAGCGGCTTTAACCGATAATGATCTGGGAATTCTGATCTGCTTCTCCAAAATTACTGTGAATGAGGAGCAGATGAAAACATGAGATATACTGAGCGACATACAAACATTTTTTTTTAAACACTCATGCGTCTGTCATGTACCTTGGAAAAGATAATCTTCTGTGTTTTGGTCAGGGTTATCAGAGCTGCCAACTATGTCAAAGGGTGACCTCCCAGCCATCATCTCAAACATCAGGACGCCCAGTGCCCACCAGTCCACACTAAAACCTGAAAAGAAAGGGCACACAGAGTTGCACATACATCATCCTGAGGGTTTGAAATGTGCCGCTTAGGACTGACAAAAAGCAGAAAGTCATGAGGTAGACACTAATAGCAATAAATGGGTTAAGCAGTGTTTGCTAGCACACACAGTTGTCAACCGAAAGTCTTTGTGAAGAGGCTTGGTTGTGTGTGAATTGTGCTTACCGTAGTCTTCTCCTCTCAGAATCTCAGGTGCAATGTAATTGGGGGTTCCACAGAAAGTGCTGGTCGTGTCTCCTGGTCTCAGTCCCTCCTGCATACAAGATGAATCCAATGAAACATTCAGGCACACAATATGACCAATGATGACTTCTTGATGGCCAATGCCGAAATCTTGCCGAGAGGAGGAGGACGGTGGCCGATGTAAAGCCCATCATTTCACAACTTTTTAGATTTTGGATATTTAATAAAATAAACTGTCAAATCATGTGTAGGCCTACATATTGCTATTTTTTCAGTACCGCATGAGCTCATATTTATTTTAATATCAACTATCTAAAAAGTGTGCATTGCATCATGTCTGACACCAACATGAACAATTTACACGTGGTTTTATGAATCCAAGTCATACCGTGTACCATGTTTCTAACTTCAATAGCATTTGAAGAGAATGACTTGAAGAGAATGATTCACACATTTAGGGACCATCTCTAAAGTTACATACGACTCGTATGTAACTTTAGAGATGGTCCCTAAATGTGTCAATATCCAGTGTCAGGCCAACTTATGCCAGTACTTCTTTGGGAATCGATTAGTGTGAAACTTTGCACGTTACGTTCATATTCTGGTCCATCTGCTATAGCCAACAACCCTAATAAGGTGGGAGTTTGGTCTTTTATATCACTGTATTTTCTCCATTGAGTTACTTTAAAGTCCCTGTAAAGTCAAAATTAAGTATGTGTTCTGAGTTTGTCACACCACAGAAAAATGTGTAATTAGCCACCCAGCCAAATTTGAATGATAAAAAAAGTCGGGAAGTACATAAAATAAGCTATCAAAATCATGAAAAAATGAGCAGATTCTCTGCTCTCAAAAGCTGGGGGCATGTCCGCTGGCTGCGCTGAAACCACGCCCACTAGCGGGAAAGCTGTTGACGGTGATATTAGCTGATTAGCTTTTGGAGACGGGAGGATGAACACTGAGGCGCGATATCGTCGTTTCGGCCCCGTTCACCAGTCACAGCGGATTATCAGTGAATTATCAGTGAATCCAAGTTGTCTCTGAGGAAAGTTTATAAAAACGATCCAGTGTAAAATGATCACTACAGAGGCGGGTGTTGGGGGTGATCCTCAGCTCTTCATCAAGGTAACGTTAGGCTCTCTAAAAACCTCTTCTTGATGTGAGTCAAGTTTTTAAGGGAATTTAAATGAAGATACCGATCTGTTTTGTACATGATCGCATACAGGTAGTAGCCCATGCATGTCCGTGTCGAAGGCATAGCTAGCTAGAAAACTGTAGGCTCAGCTGTAGTAACTAAAAGTACTGACAGTCACTCGCGATTGAGCGGTGAATGCGAATGTGCTCGGGGAGTGTGTGTGGAGAGGGGGAGATCAGACTCTGTGCGTCATCAAATAGGGGGGTGTCCAGCAGCTCATGGGTTCCAGTGCGTCACGGATCCCTGTTTTAGCCCCGCCCAATTAATCCGTAAAATTGCAATGGTGAAAAACTGTTTAACGGTCTAACTCCACATTTCAGTACTTCACAGTTCACAGACTTGTAATATGTTTTAGCAATACATATGTAACATTTATAATGTGTTTAGAACTTTTTTGTAGAATTGACTTTACAGGGACTTTAAGTGTCCAGACCGCAGGGGAATCCTGGAGAGTGACATACTGAGGGAGTACCCCGTTCTGCAGCAGTTTCATTTCTGTAAATCAGTTTCTATGAATGAATGACTCTCTCACCCTTTGCTCTATAGTTTTCTTTGTCAACAGCCGCTTGCACCTCCTCCTGGTGAGGCCGACTATCGGCTATGGAGATTGTCAATCGGCAACCTACTGATACTCCTACCATTCCCTGGATGTGAAATGTTGAATTTTCTGTCGAATTTGAACCACTGAATTTGTAGAAATTTGCTAAATAAAATTGTCTGTTGAATATGATGGGTTGTATTTTTAAACAGAATGAACATTTGGGAAGCAATCTTAAAGGTGAATATTGATTTTTGAATTTTTAATAATGAAAACGTTTGTGAATTGGTTTGAATTAAAATATTCACAGCTTAAATATACAACCACGTTGAATTTTTCAGCCCATAAAAATGCAAGCCCTAAAAATACAAAGCATTAAAATGCAAGCAGGGTTAACGCAATGCATATTTTTTTCAAGCAGTGCAATTCAACAAGCTTTTTTGTTTCAAAAACATTATTATTGTCATTATTTTACTTCAATAGAGTTACCACCGGAGGAGCATAAATCCTCTTCAGAGTTCTGTATGTGTGCATCCATGTTTCTTTATTAATAACTTCAAACATTCCCGCCCACTGAAAGCTGCACGGATTTTCATACGGACAGAAATAAGACATATTTATAGGACATAAAATGACTCATAGCCATAGCAGTGCACCAGTTTAAATCAGAGTGCAGACATAGTGTCACACATTCTGACAAATAAAAAATATCATGTAAGTTTCAGAACTCAAAACTTCCTTGTTAGTCCAAAAACAATTTTAATTGAAACCAAGCTGTCAAAATGTCTCGCTTCGGATTTTGTCACATTTACGTCATAGTGCGAAATAAGGCCGCCTCTTCAGAAGAAAATCAACACCTACTACTTCACCATTGATGGTTAATTCGGGACTGTCATATTACATAACATGAGAACACTCTTTTATTAAATGGTTGTGAACTCATTGTGTTTAGTTACCGTTTTCAGTGTGTTGTTTCAGCATGTCCACAACAGTCACACATTCTGACAAGCACGGATCTGAGGCATCATTGGTGACGCATTGTATTTGTCGTTATATTTATATATTAAATTATTCATTTAATTTATCAATCACATCCAAACATTTTACAATCCTACTAGATTAAAAACCATTCTTATAAATTTGGTGAGGAACAGCTTTTTGAGCAGCATTTGCAGGCCCTATAATGCTGTTTGCCGTTAATGCTAACGATGAATTGATCGTTAATTTAAACGACGATCGATCATGATGAAAATTGACATCCCTAGTACATACGCTTAAATAAACAACTTTTTGGACCACAAAATCGCTCCTGTTCTAAATCATGGTGTGATTTTCATGGTAAGTGGGTCTCTTTCACACTTACCTTACACATGCCGTAATCAGTGAGTTTGATGTGTCCCTCTGACTCCAGCAGAACATTGTCCAGTTTCAGGTCCCGGTAAATAATGCCACGCTCATGGAGGTAGTTCAAGGCAAGACTGATCTCTGCTGAGTAAAACCTGCCAGTGAAAACAACAAAAACAAACAAACAAAAAAAAAACAGTTAGTGATCAAATTTGAGTTTCTGTTCCAGTGGTGTCTCTTTAAAACTAATGTCAGTTCCACCCACGACACTAGACAGCTCACATTCCTCATACCTGGCATGCTCTTCTGGAAGTTTTCTCTGTCGCTGCATGTGGAACATGAGATCCCCTCCATTCACGTACTCAATTACAAAGAATAGCCTGTGAAAGGAAAGGATTAAATAATCATTAGCCTTCACCAGACAAACAAAACTGTTCACACTAAACTGAAGGCCTAAACAATAAGAATGGCCAGGAGGACCAATATAAGACCAGGTTGGGGCGAAAGTTGATTGAACTTTTACTTATTGTTTTCAGGACTTTATTTCTTTCCTTTTTCATTATTCAAAATATGTCCATTTGAATAAAAGCCACTGCCAAATGAGTCAGTAAGATGCCAGTGTATTTGAGGTCTTGTTGTTATTATTTTACATTTAATTATATAATATATTAGGCTCTAAGTGATGTTGAGTGACGTCACTTCTTGTTGACGTTCGAAGTATTGTCAAACAAAACGCTAGCTAGACCCTCCCTCCCTCCCTCCTCATGCCCCACACTAACCCCCAAAATCCTTCTTGTCGGTTTGAATTGTTCACTAATCAGTGTTTATTATATAAAGCTGTCAAATAAATTAAAAAAGCAATCTTTTGTCAAAGAAAAAAAATAAAAATACAAAAGTGGTGAAGCCAAGAAAATCAATATAAATTCATATATGAGATAATCATGGATAATATGATATAATATATAATTTGTAGAGTCCTGATGATCTAAAAGTGCGAGAGTAGACAGACCTGCTCTCTGTCTGGAAGCAGGAGTGAAGTCCCACTAAGAAGGGATGGTTGGAAGCCTGCTCAAATACATGCTTTTCTGTTTGAACCCAGTCAATATCCTGAAAAACAAACAAAACACACACACACACACACACACACAAAATCAATCTCCCATTGAAAAGCAGAGCATTCTTTCTGTCAGTTGGGGAAACATTTGGAAGGACATTCAGGACTGTATTGAGTAAAGGCTCCCCACAAGGCTAAAAACTGATAAAGATTTAAAAGACGGGGGCACCAGGTCTTACCAAGGAGCTGCTCCTGGATGTGAGGAGACTCACAATGCACAGATACAGAGTGAAAAGCTAGGACCTTTCATTGACAGCCTGGTAAAAATACCTCTGACCGTGAGACACGCTTAAAGAGCTCTGCTGCTATTATTGACCATTAGCTGCTGCTTTCAATTCATCACACAAGGCTAAAGTGCATCTAATCAACGTTAAAGGCCCACTTCATCAACATCTAGTCATCTGTATGCATGTACATCAACACATCCTGGAAAAAATAGAGCCAGAGGAAGCTCTTTGTTTGTTTTATTCTGCAAAGTCAAGACTCAAATAACTTGAATCTTTCAGCGATTTAGTGTCAGGAGAAACACTTCAAGTTGTGAAGTGTCAAGGGCGGTTTCAAACATACAGGTTGTTTGTTGGGTGTGACATTAGTTTCATAAAGGTAGTGTGGGATGAGTGGTGTATTAGGTATGGTTCACAACCGTTGTAAATGCAATCTGATAAACTGTATTGTTCCAAATATAAGATGACTCTGAATGTAAGACAAGATGTATCTTTTGATGTACCACATCCTATCTTTTAAAGACCTTTTTTGTAAATATTTTTTATATTTCATATTTAAAAATAAAATAAATATTAAAGTAAATACTGGCAAAATGTACTAACATCAATCACTTTCAGAAATAAACGCTTAACTTAACATAACCTGAAGATCTCATTTAGTAGATTTTACCAAGAATTCTCACTTTCTCAAAAAAAACCACAGGTGTTTTAGCTGTATTATCCATCTCATCCAGGGTGGGATATGAATGTTTTTTTTTTCTTGGCCCGATCACATAGCACTGAAAAGACAGCAGTTTCTCCCTGAAGTTGGAGGGCAAGCACTAATCCATTACGCTGTATAAAAGTGGCCGCTTTCTAGGATATTGACAGGAAAGCGCATCAGTACGTAGCCGAAATAAGAAATGATGGGCCACGACAGTGGGTAAGTTCAGCTTTTTGGCGAAATCCAGTGCCTTCAGCTGAATGACAGCTCTGGTTATCGGTAGCCCCTCATTTTTCGGCTAGGTACTGACACACTTCCCTGTCAGTTTCTTCAAAGTGGCCACTTTTACCGTGATAAGCTTTTCTTTGACTGTTAGGATTTGTCTTTTTGGGCTCACCTTCTTCCAGCATTACACTGACACAATGTCAGTTTTGGCTGCTTAATGTTTGATGATTACTTGTATTTGGCGCTCCCTATTGTTGCGCGTGTATTATTGACATGTAAATGTTTAGACCCCGAATATAAGACGACCCAATTGTTTCAGATGTATTTCAAAGAAAAAAAAGTCTTATATTCAGAAAAATACGGTCATTCATATAAAGACATATCAGTGGGATCTTTGCATGTTCCCGGTCTATGAAATGTGAAATGTCACCTCATCATCGTTCACAAGCTCCTTCTTCACCACCTTCATGGCGTAGATGCGCTCTGTCTTTTTGAGGCGCACCAGCAGCACCTTGGCGTAGCTGCCCCTGCCAATCACTCGGAGCAGGTCAAAGTCTATAAGCCCCAAACTGGACACAGCCTTCCCGGACTCCCGACTGCCCACAGCCTGAGGGATGGATGAGATGCATCTTAACTTATATCTTAATATATATATTTTTATATACATAATAAAATAAATAAATAAATAAATAACCCTCTTCTTTCTGGTTTGCATTTCTTAATGCTCTTCTCTGTCCTTTCCCTTTGTTTATCGTATGATTTCCCATGAATGCGACAGAGCTACAGGAATGTGAGCCCATAATCAGATGCTAATGACCCTGATAGAAGGTTACTTTATTAGCTCCACTAAAGGAAATCAATAGAGCCTGAATGGACCTTGTTGTGAACACCCCCATCTCCTGCTATTCTGAGTGACAACTTCAGCCTGATCATCAGTCTAAGAGTGAACACTGAAAGCTTATCTAATCAGACACAGTACATAATTGTCCCATTTACACCTTATGTACACATGTACTACCATTCATTTTAACCACTTTAATCAACAAGTGGAAAGTTTTAACTGATTGTTCAAACCACATTTAATAACACATTTGACAAACAAAAGTCATTGGTTAAAGACAAAAGACCAGGAGCAAACAAGGCCAAACATTGTCTTACCTCATGTTCCTCTCCCTCGTGATTGATACTTTCCGTTGAGTTCTTTTTGTCTAGAACTGGAAAACAACAATGAGAAACAAGGAAAGTCATCACTCATTAATATTCATTAATATACTTATACAAATCTGATTCACAAGCCTCTAAACCAAATCAGGCACTTTGATAAATAAAGCACTTTGAAAAAACAGAGGGATTGAAATTTATCTGACCAGCACTGTAACTAAGAGCCCGTTCACGTCATTAATTCCAATAAACAAGCTTAATCTTGTGAGAAGACTCACGCCTGTAAGCTGCTCAATGCATTAGTCCGTTTCAGTGCAAGTACACCTCTAATTACTAAGGGAAAACTTTAGCTTAGCCCATCCAGTCATTTAAAACCCCTCAAGAGGAAAATCAGTGGCATCAATGAGCCATTATAGATCTCAGTGAATCAATTTAATGACTTAATGAATGCAATAGCTCAGAAGAGTTGTTGCATTGTTTAATACCTCTGGATTACAAGATACTTTTTAGTTAGTGATGTTGTCTACAACAAAACACAGGGCAAGTTTATCTGCTTGACTTTGCTTGATCTGTGGGCAGAACATTTATACAGTTATACATGACCTCTTGTTCCAGGTAATTATGGATAATGAGGGAAATATTTCAGAAAAGTATACTATGAATATTTATGTTCTGACCATAATAAAATTATATATTTGAAAAGCCTTGCCAAGGCACAAGAGGTTGATGATTTTGTGACCTGAAGCAGATCAATTTAAACTCAAATGGAAAGCCTCAAAATACTATTATTTTTAGAAAACTGATGGCGAGTTGAGTCTCAAAAGTGCATTCTTTCCTGAAAATGTATTTTATCCTCTGCTATTCAAGTACAAAGAGGTAAGGAAAATGCTGTGCATGACAAATAGAGATGAGAGCCTAGTTACCTTGATCAGCATGCTCTGATGGACTGGACCCAGGATCGATTCTTCCAATCATTGGGTCCTAGAAAAATGGTAATAAGATTAAAGCTAGACATAGACAGAGATTCATAGTGTTATTAGCAGTAATAACATGTCTAATATATAAGTCTACACACAATCTGATGTGAATGACCTTCCCATCCCTTGCATGTCCATTTAATAAATATTTTAGCTTTTTTGGCTAATACTTTGGCTTATTTTATCTACCAATAAGAATGTAGTACACTCAGCTCTATTTTACCAGTATATTAAATGCATTCCACAGAAAAGAACAAAAGGATGCAGATTACTAATAACTCACCTGTATTACCTGTCTACCACACTCCACTGTCACCAATTTATGGCATTTCTTATGAACCAGCAGTTTACAGTTTATGCACTTGTACCCCTGCCTGCCCAGGCCCCAGATACGATCTGTGCAGATGGCACAATGAGCACGCTGTACAGAACAGAAGGAACAGGAACATTAAACCATACTGAACACAAAAAGTCAAATGCATAATATTGAGACAAACTGTGTAACGGATAATGGTGCCAGAAACAACAAAAAGAGCATTTTTGTACCCTATTAAAGCGCTTGGCCTGAAACGCATGTCCACTGGCATAGTAAAGTTTCCTCCAGCGTCGAGCTCCACGACGGTAAATGGATTCTGAGTGAAACATTTGAGGCATTAATAAATCAGCTATTAACCAGATAATACTCAATCATTATAACCCAAAATGCTATGCAAAACTATAAAGTGCAAAAAACAAAATAAACATTATGACCTTAATGACCCTATTATAGATATATCACAAGATGCACATACTGTCTTCTCCAGGACAGGGCATGCCAGGCTTCTCAGGTATACACGGAAACACTGTGGAGAGAGAGAAAAGCACTGACAAACAGCTCCAGTGACCTATTTGTGACCTCTCCTCATCTGACAGTGGATAAGGACTTTGGGGTCAATAACAGAGTTTGTCCAGGCCTTTATGGAGAGTGGGTATTGATGGACAGTTGGTTGGGGCCGTTTTCTGAAAGCCCTTGGGGGCAGACGTCTCCTCTTCAGCATGACTAATTAACTCACACAGCAGGCAGAATAATCTATCTCTGTCAATCACTCCCTGAATCATATTTTCCTGTCCAGTAATGATCCCATGACCTGTATGATGCCACATAATAATAAATAATTTGTTACATTTATATAGCACTTTTCTGGGTACTCAAAGCGAATTACATTCGGGGAAGGGGGAATCTCCTCAAACACCACCAATGTGCAGCATCCACCATAGGGAGTTATAAATAAATAAATACTTACATGTACATAAGTCAGAAAATCAAAATGTGGAGCCTTGTTTGAGTTAATTAACTCTGGGGCTTAAACGGATATGGTTGTTATGACTAACTGTGTCTGATGTGACAAGTCTCAAGCTAAATGCAAAAACTGCTGTCCAATGTGACGCAATCACAGCTAATCAGAAGATTTTAGACCAATGGCATTTGAGACTCGAGATTTGAGCGAATGAGGTATCTACATATACATATATGGTTTGGATAGTTTTGTGAAGTGTGTTGATAGTTTAATGAACCATCTAATTTTAGTAGTTCTGCTGGAGTAGAACTTTGGCAGAAATTGCAGCTTTGAAAAGCTCATTTTAAACATCCCAAAGCTTTAGAATTTGTATTGCTTTTGTATTGTTGCTATCTTTAAGTCTGTGCAGGACCATGGACTCTGCATTCTGTTGGTATGATGGTTTGTAATGTCACATTTTGTTTAGATATAATGTAGTTACTTGAAAATTATGTTTTTGCAACAGATCCTGACAGTACCTATCTTGAGTACCGCCCATCCCTAGCCTGGCTAACGCCAGACCACGCATCATTGAGAATGAAACATGGCCTGGAAACCACAAATTTTCTCGTATTTGAGGCGTGGTTTACGAATGCCCAGAGCCGTATTATTGGGTGCGACGAATGTCTATCAAATGGGCCTGTACGTCTATCAAATGCGCCTGTGCTCCCTCTACCCGTTATGTGATTGGTTCGCTATTTCTGGGGAAAATTTGGTTCATGGTATCCAGACTGCCAAGCAGAATAAAATCGTGCTGCAGCAAGGCAGAATGGGGAAACCCAGGCTAGCCGCTCCCTACACAAAAATACACATGATTTTGCAATGTTATAAAATGTGATAAAACGCATTATCGTGAATTCCAAAGATTAATTTAAACACTAAACCTCCATCATGAAACAGAATCCAGATAAATTCAAAAGGACAACAGAATTAATTTGTTACACTATTTTTGTTAATTCTATTTAGAGGTGGAATCGCAGTTGATCTGTGATCCGTACAGACCAGGCCACGGGGTTCGACACGTATGTGTTCGCACATTAATTGCTAAATTTAACGATCATAGAGTGAAAGTTTATCATTTGGATGCATTATGTCTTGCAAATTTACCATTTCCAACAATTTTAAACGCAGAAGTACATGTGGTTCACATCACATTGGGTCAAGACATGGTGTAAGACTTCATCAGTCATAATTCTTTTAAGAATCTAGACAACTACACAGAAAAGCATATGCACTACTGCCCACCCACATCAAAAGCCACACCCCAGCATACCGTGAATAATGAGCTCTGAGTCTTTGTTGAGTTCATAGAGACGTAAGGCCTCCTCCAGCTCCAGCTGAGAAGAAACGGTGCACGGATCCCCTGCAATGACAAGCACGGTGAACACTCACTGGAAAACTCTTTACCAAAGACATCAGTATAAGCCGCATGAGCATACCTGACACAGCAAAGAGGAACAGAGAGAGTGAGGCAAAATTAAAGCAGTCAACAAACGAGTCCCTGTTAGCATGCTATGTTTATAACAGTGTTTGCAGAGCATAAAGTAAAAATCTATTCGTTTTTCACCATGAACTAGTAACAGGGCCAGTGGCGTTGTCCGGAGTTGTCATCTAAAGAGAAGCCTGTGGCACAGACTGTCTCGGCTTGCGTAGACACACAGCCCTCAGTCAGACATCACAGCAGAGGCAATGAGTGACGCCGGGCATCAGTGCCAAGCCTTGTGCAGACAGAAGGGATTAACTCTTCACCATGACGGCCCTCTCAGATCAGCTATGCTAATGAACAGTGTGACTATGGGCTCAGCGTGGAATGGTGAAGATTTTCGTATTTAAATGAATGCTCTTCCATCTCCATTTCCTATCTCGCATGATTAATGCAGCAGTTAATCATCACACACAGTCAATCTTTCCAGCATAAAACCTGCTCCCTGCTGTGCGCTGCATTCAGATTCACTTCATCCTCATGTAAAATCCATCCTCTTTATTTCTGCCAGTGGAGTCCAGGGTAATTTTGAGACTCTAATGCAATCTGCCAAAAGTTGGTTCACTTGTAATATAAAGTGCTAGTGCAAATTATCTAGGCATAATTTCAGCAGAATAACAGGGGGAAGCTTGTTGCTACGGTGACAGTTAGAGGAACAGAATGAGATTTACACCTGGTATAATCATCTGTATCAGGGGATTTGATCACAAGCAGACATCAATAAACCAGGTTTAGTCCTAAACATTTTGTGATTACTCAAACCACTAAAGCTGTATTGATTTGATCAAAAATGACACGTCCTGAAAAAAATTGTGAAATATTATTCAATTTATTACAATAAAAAAATCTTCATCAATCCATTTCAAGCTGAAGAGCTGGTCATTGCCCATGGAGTCTATGATTTATTAACATGGAGTGAATTTTTTGGAGTGAAGTTCGCAAAAAAAGAAAAGAAAGAAGAAGCAAATTATGTGTGTTTCCATCAAGTTACTCGGACGGATGTGGTGGTATGGGCAACCAATTAACAGTAAATTAAACACCATCAGCGGAAACAGTCGATTAGTCAGTTCACCAAGTCAGAATTTATTTGGCAAATGATTTCCATTTCCGATTATTCGCATTAACTCTTTTTCACACAAGTCAAAAACCACCTCAAATGAGCGTAAGAACTTTCTTGCAAAGGGATTTTTTCACAGAAATTTGGTGTTTACATCACTCGTTTCTGATGCGATACTTCAAAATGTGCATTATAAAAACAGGGTGATGGAAATATAGGCTTGTGCCTAAATGTGCAAAATTAAGCAAAAATAACAAAAAAAAAATACATTAAGTGAAAAAGTTAATGGGCAAAACTTTTAATTAAATTATTATGTATTAATTTGAACGAAATCTGAATGTAACTGCACTGACTGGTTTACCATGTCTTGTGTTTAGTCATGAAATCAAAGAGCCTCAATGAAATCTGATCACAAGAGGTCACAGTCACGGGTCATGTCATCTGTCACGGCTGACTGCTTGTGATCGGATCACCTGGACCAGAAGTTAATACCAACTGTAAATAGAGCAAGAGAGACAAACACAAATGAAATGGCAAACCTTCTTCATCAATCCATTTCATGGTGAAGAGCTGGTCATTGTCCATGGAGCACATGTCCCGCACCTCATTGCACAGACCCTCATAGGAGATGGAGGGCTCAAAATGTGTGATCATGATGTCCCTAAAACAGAAAAATGTGACATTCAGTAATGGTTTAATCATAAACAGTTTATTCCTAGAGTAATATCTATTTTATTAAAGGTTGTGCCACTTTTTATACAATGTAAAAGAGCTGCACGATTCTGGATACATTGAGAATCAAGTGTTTAAATAGAGATCACGATTCTCCCACAATTCTAAATAGTAGAATTGAAATAGACAGCTAAACAAAGTAACATTTAATTTACCACAGGGTCTGACAAAATGTTAATTGCTGCAGTCTATTAATTAATATTTAATTTAAACAGTAATTAGAATTATTATTATTAATTCAAAAAATATATAATAATAAATATTATTATTAATTTAAAAAATTACCATTCAATTACAAATAATGTACAAATGGTGTAATTGATACAATCTTTATTTGAAGAGTCAAGTTACTCTGGAGGGTGATTTACTCTGCTTTGATCACTACCATAGACATCAATGTTTATATCTGAACTATAAACTTTTACCCCAGTACATCAGTGATATTTTAATTATTGTAACACAGAAATAATGATACTGTGTGGTTGAAAAGAGTGTGAAGTTGTTTCATACCAATACATAATTTTCTCTCTGAGGCAGCACCAACTAGGGCTATGTGATATTGACCAAAAATATTATCGATACTTTCTGGGATTTTGTTAATAACGATGATCAGGCGAATTTTTGCCAAGCTGTGTTATTGTGCTGGTAATATTGGCAGGTTTAGGACTGCTGTTGACAGTTTATTCCCAATGTTTTAGTTATTCTTGATATTTTGTGCAGTTAGTTCACAGCAGTAACAAAAAGTTTTACAATTTTACCTTTTATGTGCATTTTTACCTTTATAATCTTTTCAATGTACCATGTTTTTCTAACCTAATAAAATGTACTCTATGCATCAATTATTATGTCAAATTATTACATTTAACCAGTAAATTCAATTAAAATAATAAGACACAAAATAGGGCTGTTAACAATCAAATTAAATCAGTATCAACAAAACCTATCTTTGCAATGCAGAGGAAACACAGATGCTGCATCTGAAGTGCCATTTATATGCATTTACACAGACTGTTTAATGCAGCTATGATCATGCCTAGGATCATAGACAGTAAAAAATAGAGGGGCGACGCTCTTCCCTTCTTTCCAAAATTAAAACAAAATATCCCCGAAACATTTGTTGCTTATGCCATCAAGACGTTACACCGTGACAATACGTGTAGAATACACTGCATGAAAATAGAACAGGAATCATTTTGCTTAGTTACAAAGCAGTCTTATGTAAAATGGTTAACACAAACATATTTACACATTAAACAAAACAATACACTGCGTCTTCAGTGGCTCAGATTCTGGGAATAAATCGACAACAACTGAACTTTTAAATTCTTTATCAGGTAGCATCCTTGTGGACTGCGTGCCTAACATGGTGGACTGCGTGCTGCGTGATGTCACACTGGGTTGTAGACTTGAACAAAACAAAAAGGGATTGGGAGGATTTTACCATTATAGGGTGGTTGTGTACACTGCAGACACAAAATTATGCTCAAAAATCCCATAAAAGCTAATCATAAATTTGGGAAGCTGTTCTGTATCCTTAAGTTTGGTAATTATAAAAATCTAAATGCATTCAAAATGCTATCAGCCTTTTTTGTTTTTTTTTAAAGACCAAAAGACAAACGGAGTATAATACAGTGAGTTTGTGGGAAGCTGTGTGTTGAAATACTAGCACATTCCCAAAGTAGGAGACACCAAGCAGCTTATTTCCCTTTGTTTTCTAATATGTTCACACTGTTTTGGTTAATTATTGACAGCAGGGGAGTCCTTCCTGCCTACGAGGTAGCACGCTAACCCACACATGCTACAGAGAGTAGTAGGAGTACACACACCACCTTATATGACAAAGAAAATCACAAGGCATATCCAGTCTGACATAATGAAAGCTCTGTGTCAGTGAACTGTGCTTAAGTTCATATTTACAGAGAGATAAACAACCTCTTACTGTTGCCTCTTGTAAATGATATAAAATTATTCTGGCACATAATTCACATTAAGAGGAAGATGGATGTGTGTGTGTGTCCACTTTATTAGTATGTGCAGATGCACCCTCTGCATCATTGATAGGTGGTGAAGCCACATTACTTCATTGGGCATACATGGATCAGCTCACACTCCCTTTACAACAGCATCCTGAACACACACTCATTCCTGCAGTCAAATACGAACCTAAAAACTATTTGCTGAACCTGGAGGTGTAAACAAGCTCACCGATACCAAAATGAAGAGGAAAAATACACAAGGAAATAAGACCAAACAGCAGGTTCATTAAAGGGATCGTTCACCCAAATATGTAACAAAAATGTCATATTTACTGTTGTTCCAAACACATATGACAATCTTTCTTCAGTGGAAGAAAGAAAAAGATAATATTTTGAGAAAAGTTTCTATTTTGTATGTGCGTGCGTGTGTGTGTGTGTGTGTGTGTGTGTGTGTTTTCTTTAGGGAAACAATTATTGGGTTGCATATTCAGCCAAATATCTTGTTTGCGCTATTTGCTGCAACTATATCTACGAGCAAACCTTATGATGAATTGTGATTAATTCAAATATTAATCTCGACTATATTGTTTGCAAACTAGATTAGGTCAAATTAACCATACGAGTTGATTCTGTTGATTTGTGCTTAAATAATATTTATTTTTTATATCTATTATACGTTTTGAACAAAGAAATTAGTTTAACCATAATCGTGCAGTCCTACTGCAGAAGAAATTCATACAGGAACAACCTAGCTAACAACGATCAAATAATGAAAAAATATTTTTTGTGGTAATAAAGTCAGATGACCATGACAAACAGACAGAGCACTGACCATGAGCTAAGCAGGAGTCTTATATGAAGCCCAAATGTATTCAACATCCATCAAAAATGGTTTCAGATTAGAAAACTTTGCAATATAGGTCAAATCTTCCAAAAGACTTGTTTATTACAGTCATACAATAGCCTACATCACAGCAAAAAAAAAAAACATGGATGGATGACTGCCAGAGAGGGAGAGCAAGAAGTGGATCAAAGACAAAAGATAAGGCAGAGAAAGAGGAGAAGGATAAAGCCTGTGAATTTCATCTTCGCCAGGCTTCAGGGGGTTTTAAACAGAACATAAAAGGTGCAGAGAGTAAAGCCTAGTTCACACTACGTGATTTTAAGCCCGATTTAAGCCCGATTTGCAAATCGTTGAGTCGCCGACAAGTCAGGGTGTTATCGCGTGCAAATCGCGGGCGATTAGCGGACGATTAACGCTCGCCAATCCGTTAGTGTGAAAGAGCCAACAACGCATCAAAGACAGCTCGCAGACACCTCGCAGACAGGTCACCGAGCTCAGAAAAATATCTAGCCTGCTAGATATCTCGAGCAGTCGCGCGACTCAATCTCAGTGATGTCATGAGTACAGCCAATCATAGCAACGCATGGGTTGAGGACACCAGGTAAATCTTACTTTTTCTTTTTTGCATTTTTTTTCTCAGAGCAGATCGTCGAGCAAACAGTGTGCAGCACTAGTTTCTGTCTGACCTGACGTCCATATTCGCGTGTTATGTTTTTCTCTGTAGTTTCGCGTCATTTCTGGTTCATTTTATTGCGTGGTTTTTCGTTACAAAACATGGTTTCTAGACCAGATAGAATCGTGTTGTTGTCAACTCGTTATTTGTTTGATTATTTTCAGGATTTAGACCGTACTATAGTACTGAAACAGCTCTCATTGAGTCACAAATGATATGCTCTTATCATCCGATCGTGGTTGTATCTCTATGCAGTGCGTTGTTAACTCGTGTAGTGAGTTACCTCCTGTTGTGGATCAATCACGTTGTGTTGTGTGGTGTGAACAGCTAAACAACTTGAACACTCATGATTTCACTGAGAGCAAGTCATGTAATGTGAACTGCACAGTTCAGCCCAACATTTTAAAATCATGTAGTGTGAACTAGGCTTAACATGTCCTTCACTCAGTCTATTCAAGACTATGCTGCATTCAGGCAGAAACCTGTCATAATGGCCTCCACACACCAAAGAAACACCATCTGATTGGGTCTTTCATGGCCACAATAGTAGTTTATATAGAGGGGAGGGGATTGAAACTGGTTCAAAGATTGGTTAAAATGACCTGCTGAATAACAAAAGAAACCAGAGAGAACACACGTGAAGGGACAAATTGTGGGTTTCAAAATCATCCACACCCAGAAATGATGTGCTATTTTTGTACAGTATAGGCCATCAATTAATGCTCCATAGAGCTTTTCTTAAAAAACAAAATAAAATCAGAAACTGAGCTTTCAAAAACTGAAGATCGTACAATGGGATGATTGGTTTCTTTAAAGATTTTCACATACCTGAGGCCAGTTCATAGAGGCTAATGACGGTGGACCTAGGTTCCATACAACGGTGATAATAATAACTATTATCAACAAATTCAGCTGGAACAGAAACTAACTAAATAATCAAGACAGCTGCACGCACACAATAGCTCTCTTGGGGAATGTGAATAGGAATCAGTCTCCAACAGGTCTGGCAAAAGATACTTGCTGTACAAGTTTTTCAAGTGCATGACAAGCGCATGCGTCATCATGAATGGAACACAGTTCTGCATGAAAATCATTCATACAATGAGCTTATTTATTAACATAAAAACAACCCAAGAATTGTTTCCCTAAAGAGCAATAACTAACATTTACATGTTGTTTTACCTCCCATTTTAATAACAATTCACTGTTCTCGCTTAGAAATTTGCTTAAACCACATAATAATGTGATGATCTACATTTTATGTTCATGACACACATACACATTTGCATATAGTTTAAATTTTACATTTAATTTTATCATAATATCTGTGACTTTTCCTTTACCTCCCTTGCCCTACCGTCATATAGAACCACCTAAATGTTACAGATCGCAAATGTTGTAAGACAGGTAGACATAACCAGCTCCTTGACAGGGGCAACTCTCAGATGAAAACAACACTTCATAAGCCATCATTAGATTAACTGACATTGACAAACAGAACAAAAACATTTAATCACTTTTTGTATACTATTATGAGACCTAATATGAAAAGAAAAAAAGCTGTAGATAAAGAAATTACCACACAGCTGTGTTATAGTCGGAACTCCTTTATTAGAACTTCATCAAGAGTTTGTTTTTGGCTTAGCTAATACTACCAGCTAAGTTAGCTGGCCAATCATTTATTTGTGTACGTTATATCCCGAAACAGCATAAGAGGTCAATATAAGAGTATACAGAGTCTCACTGTCTAACTGTTACTTACCCTCTATAGTATGCTTTTACCCGGACCTGGTGAGGGTTTTCTCCGGGGTGGGACATTGTGCTGTCCCGCAGCGTAGGCATTATGAGGTCTCCGTACTCCGGCTAGCGAGCTAACTTGGCTAACGAGGCTAGCCCGCTGTCGTGACGAGAAAAAACAAACTGAGTTAGAAAACTGGACTTATTACCAAAATAGTGTTAACCCCAGTGGTACAATCGGCCTGTCTTAAATACAATTAGTAAAGTTCTGGGGAAAAAAAATTAGCCTGACAACTAGAACTTCTGTGTATGACGGGGAAAACACTCCCTTCTCTCGCGCAGGCCTCGAGACGGAATGATCCAAACAGCGGAATGTGGAGGGGAGATGATGGGGATTTCCAACAAACATATTAACGTTACACATTATTAGCGACTGTTAGTATCACATATATTGTTTGACTAGGTCGTTTAGAGAATATGCAAATATTGAACATCTGAGATATAAGTAATGTTTTAGTATCGTGTGGTAATAAGTTTAACTTAAATAGGATCGGTCGGCTGGATGGGAGCGTCTGGTAGCATTCCGATTATACCACGCAAAGTTTGAAGAGGGTGGAAGAGCATCGAAGGAAGTTGGTGGCATTATGTCTAGAAATGAGTAAGGATGGAATTCATGAAGAATGTATAGATTATGTCTGGTTAAGAAATGCAATTGTTTTATTTCAGATTTCAATAAATCAACATTTACCAATATGACATAATATAATAGGCCTGATATAATATAAAATAATATAAAATAATATAACAAATCAGGAAAGTTAATACAAATATTATAATAATAATGCTTTTAAATTCATTACTGCATACTTATTAGTTGGGGGTAAGAAAGTAGGCTTTACCTAGCTAGCCTACATCATTAAACTGCATATGGTTCTTTCAAGTCAGACATGAAGAGAGAGTAATACCTCGACGCTAGGGGTCTAACAACTAAAAATCAAGTCAGGAATCTTGGTGTGTCTCTAGTCAGACCTTAGTTTCAATAGTCATGTCAAAGCAATAACTAAATCAGCATACTATCATCTGAAAAATATTTCAAGAATTAGATGCTTTGTTTCCAGTCAAGACTGTATGCACAAGTTTCATCACCAGCAGGGTGGATTACTGTAATAGCCTCCTCACTGGCCTTCCTAAAAAGACCATAAGACAGTTGCAGCTCATACAGAACGCTGCTGCCAGGATTCTGAGCAGGACCAGAAAATATGAACACATCACACCAGTCCTCAGGTCTTTACACTGGCTGCCAGTTACATTTAGGATTGATTTTAAAGTATTATTACTGGTATATAAATCATTTAATGGGTTAGGACCTCAATATATTGCAGATATGCTCACTGAATATAAACCCAACAGATCACTCAGATCATTAGGATCACATCAGCTAGAAATACCAAGGGTTCACTCTAAGCATGGAGAGTCTGCTTTTAGCTAATGCCAGCCGCAGCTGGAACCAGCTTCCAGAAGAGATCAGGTGTGCTCCTACAGTATTCAAATCCAGACTCAAAACACATCTGCTTAGCTGTGCATTTACTGAATGAGCACTGTGCCACTGTTCGTCCGACTGTTACTGCACTTCATTTTATTCTAAATAGTTTTAATTTACTGTATTTTATTTTATCATAATTGTTATTTTTCATTATTTCTTATTTTTTTTCTAAACTGTTTTAATTATTCTGATTTCTTTTGATTATTTTAATTTCTTCTATGTAAAGCACTTTGTATTGCCATTGTGTATGAAATGTGCTATATAAATAAACTTGCCTTGCCTTGCCTAATATAGCCATACCCTATTTCATTAAGTAGGCCTAAGTCAGAATAATTCACCAACGTTTCTGACTGATTAACTAAAATAAGGTGCTGATAATTTGTTCAGGGTTCAGACAACCGACAATCGCTGTTTTTGATACACAAGAACAACCAGCTGATAAGAGACATTCGTTATGTAAGTGATTCTTTGTGTGCTACAAGGATCGTTTTGTGAGTGATAGGCCTACTCAGAGCCGTTAAATATGGGCTCTTAAGTTACAATTGCAGATTGGAACTGACGTGCTGATAAAACGGATTCACCTGAAATTTAGCTATACTGTGTCGTTTCACTAATTAAACAACAGCACAGATACAAGAGCAGAAGACCTCACCGGGTCCCACTCATCTCCAAATAGGAAAAAGAGGCTACAATTTGCAAGAGCTCACCAAAATTGGACAGTTGAAGACTAGAAAAATGTGCTCTACCAAACTTGGATGCCATTTTTCCAGTAATAAACAAACACTGTTAAGTTGTTTTGATTGATACTGTGCAGCTTTGATACAATCTGTATTGTGAAAAGCGCTATAAATATATTTGACTTGACTTGACATTCAGATAGCGTCAGAATTTGGCGTAAACAGAATGAGAACATGGATCCATCATGCCTTGTTACCACTGTTCAGGCTAGTGGTGTAATGGTGTGGGGAATGTTTTCTTGGCACACTTTAGGCCCCTTAGTGACAATTTGGCATTGTTTAAATGCCATGGCCTACCTGAGCATTGTTTCTGACCATGTCCATCCCTTTATGGCCACCACCCATCCTCTGATGGCTACTCCCAGCAGGATAATGCACCATGTCACAAAGCTCGAATCATTTCAAATTGGTTTTTCGAACATGACAATGAGTTCACTATACTAAAATGCCCCCCACAATCACCAGATCTCAACCTAATAGAGCATCTTTGGGATGTGGTGGAATGAGAGCTTCATGCCCTGGATGTGCATCCCACAAATCTCCATCAACTGCAAGATGCTATCCATATGGGCCAACATTTCTAAAGAATGCTTTCAGCACCTTGTTGAATCAGTGCCACGTAGAATTAAGGCAGTTCTGAAGGTGAAAGGGGGTCAAACACAGTAAAAGTATGGTGTTCCTTATAATCCTTTAGGTGAGTGCAAATTGCTTATAAAAGTTGAAGCATGCTATGTTATAAAAATATGCATTTTCAAACTAAACAGCACCAGTGGCTCATAGGCTAATTTAAATGAAAGAAAAACACTTTTAAATGTTTACAAAGGCAAACTGGTAGAATTCACATAAAGAGCCGTAATGAATTACTTTTTTTTTTTTCAACTCAGTTGACAGTGCATGACTCTCAAAATAAAAGTAATTATGGGCAGACAGCATAAAACACTGCATTGGAAAGGCAAACTATTTTTACTATACACTCTAAAAAATGCTGGGTTGTTTTAACCCAATTTTGGGTCAAATATGGACAAACCCGAAATGTTGGGTTAAAAATGTAATGTAAAAATTTAACCCAACGGCTGGGTTAGTCCATATTTGACCCAAAGTTGGGTTAAAACAACCCAGCATTTTTTAGAGTGTAGGCCCACACAAAATAGCCTATTTTAGCAGTTTAAAAAATATATATTGAATTAAAAAAATTGACTAATAACACTTTAAAACTTTAATTTGTTAACATTAGTTACTACATAGTTAGACATAAGGTCAACAACATTAATACTTTTTTAAGATCAAAAGTTGTACCTGTTAATATCAGTTAATGATTTTTTTTATTAACAACTGTTAATAAATAAATGCTGTAAAAAATATATTGCTCATTTTTTTTGTTCGTGTTAGTTAATGCAGAATATAATGTCAACAATTGAGAACTTATTGTAAACTGTTACCAAAATGGTAATAAAAATGTCAAATCATTAGGCTATATTTATAGTCCCTGATAACACGCCAGTGATGAGAAAGTCATGGTGAGAGCAGCGCTGTACGAAGTCCTCCTACACAGCAAGTGGTGCTGCTGGCTTAGAAATGTCTCAGCCTCTGTAGCGTTTTGTTTTTATCTCCATCTTGAGCGCGCTGTCGCAGAACATGAATGAGGCCGTGACAGAGCACAGCAGCGCGCGCTCACGTCTCATATCCATCTCTGGCAGGTAACACTCATCAACTCATGCGCCTTCAACATTGCATGGGAGAAACGCGTCATGATCGCATGATTCCCCAAAGATGGAGACGTAAAGTCTTAATAATAAAACCTTTATTGAAAATGATACCCGTCAAATCGTATGTTAAAACAAATCTCAGCGTCCCACAGGGGCTGGAAAGGTGGGCGTTTCTCCGTGGCACTGGAAGGAGCAGTTAGAGAAACAGTTTTGACAGATAAACATCCGGCCTCTCGAAATAATGTAGCCTACAACGCATTATAGCCGACACCAGTCTTTTTTTCTGATGATTGTGATAAACAGGTGATTTCCTAAAGTTAAAATGCTGTGTAGACTACTGTAAATTTTTAATTAGCCTACTGTACCAATAATAACGCATAACGCTTTTAATAACACATAACACGGGTTGTTTAAGTTGAGTCAAATTATTTGCATGTCCTCATTATGGAAGTGACGAATAAAACAAGCAAAATTAGATGTTATTTCATTTTACTGCAGTGCAAACACTCCAATTAGCTATTCCGACGCTTCTCATTAAATTATTTTACTTCTGTTATTTAATGTTAGACTATCATAACATTATCAAAATATTATCAAAAACTTTATCTATGTAGGCCTATTACCGGATTATGTCAACAAATAGCCTATTCACTAGTGGACAGCCGGACAGGACTTGTGAAATAGAATTTCACGACACCAACTTGGCTTTGTGGTTTTAATTAATTAAAATTCGTTAATACTCGTAAAAAATAAAATACTCGTAGCTCATAAATTATTATTATTACTGATTATGGAAATAGGAGATTACATCACTTAACTGATCTTTAGGGATCAAAAAGGTTTAGAATGTCTGTGAAAATTCTTTGTCGTATAGCCTACATGAGTCATCATGACATATTCTGTAGTTTGTCATGGATACAAAATACAGTGAATAATAAACTGTCAATATTAAACACTGTAGACAACAATTCACTTAAACGTTTCGAATGACGTTAGCAAACTGTGAGAGAGCACGTGCACCTATAGCACAAATTCACCTTTTCATTGTTTTCAATTACTGTAGATTAATTAAAATTTGAATAAATGAAAATTAGCCAAATAATAATTTCCCAGAAAACTATTGTAACAGTCTGACAGAGACCAGACTGCGTACTCTAATCTGACAGAGAAAATAAATTAAACAGTTTTATTTTTAAAAACTAAAATTGCAGGTCCACAAAAGAACATTAAATCGACCAATCAGCATGTTGCATTTGTAAACGTCAGATTTTTAACAAAATATACGTTCCTATTTTGTTAAATTAAAATAGGCTTTTATTCAGTTTATTGTTGAAACTCCTATTTTGTTAAATGCAGATTTAAACCCGCAAATAATTAATGCTACTTTTCATAATAAATTAAACTGAAGATGTAAATGTATCAAATAATAAATAAAAATTAAACAAGAACATGAACAAGATTTAGACTTGTTTTTGAATACTTTCAAAGTATGCAA